TTCCCTGCCTAACTTGTGTCCTATAAGTGGCTCTTTGCTATTTTTCTTCCGGTGTCGCCTACTCAAAACAAACATCTCCATCAGCATTGGAACTTGGGGTTGTAAGAGAGCCCCAGCTGGGGCAACTCCACGACAGGGGGTGAGGGAGGACATTTTATTTTCGGCAGTACCATCTGTCACTTAGGCGGGGGAAAGGAGACCAGAGGGTGTCATGTAAAACTAGTCCCAAACATGAAGAAGGAGGAGGGCATTTATTTCTGTTTCTTAGATGAGCATTTGATTTTTATAGAAGACATTGCAGCATTCACTCTTATGTGAGAAAACAAGAGACAGATGGAAAATAAAGAAAATGCTTGATTTTGAGGCACGAGAATGTCAAACTTCATAGAAGATGCTAGTTGCACAATTGACAACAGTTCAGTCTCTTTGGGTTCCAACTCTCCTCTCCGAATCTAAGTCCATGTTTTCACATGCATGCAGGACAGTTCCTCTTCATTTCCTTTTGGTCAAGACATGATGTTAAGTGAAACAAAACAGACACAAAAAGACAAACACCTCATGTTCTTACTTATATATGGAAGCTGAAGTTGATCCCAAAGAAGTAGAAATTAGAATAGCAGTTAGCAGAGCCTGGGAAGGATAAGGGCAAGGGAGGACAGAGGCAGGACTGTTAGTGAGCGCAGGGGTGAAACTGGGCAGGAAGAATAGCTTGTAATTTCTATAGCAAAACAGGGTAACCGTGGTTGACACAATTAATCGAATATTTCAAAATAATTAATAGAGACTGTTTTGGATGCTCCCCAAACAAAGGAAGGATGCATGTCTAAGAGGACAGATATGCCAATTACCCTCATCTGATGATTATACATTTTGTACATGTATTGAAATGCCACACTGTTCCCCATAAATATGCATAATTATCATGTATCAATTAAAACATACTAATAAAAAGTTAAAAAATTGGACATGCCAAAAAAAATTTTTCCTTTTGGTCTAAAATCAAGATTCTTTTTCATTTTTAGAATCAACAACAATAATAATAGCTAGCCCTAATACGGAATTGAACTGTGTGTCAGATCCTGTTCTAAGCACGTCATATGAATACTCATTTAGTCTTCCTAACAACACTCTGGGGTCGATGCTATAATTATCTATCTTACAAACTGGTACAAGTAAAGGCAGCACCAAGTGACTAAATAACTTGCTCCAGGGCACGCAGCTAGTAAATGCAAGAGCCAGGACCGAGCCAAGTTCCTGTGCTCTAGATCTGGCTCCATTCTATCCCACCATGGTTCTTAATGCTTCCAGGGTCAGACACTGAGGGTCTTTGATACTTCTGTGTCCTGGAAACAACTGTTAGGCTAGAGGAAGGAACTGAGCTAGCAAAAATACCCTTCCCTTGGGTGGCGCTGTGGGGATAGAATGAGCAACCCAGCGCTTAGTAGCAAGCAAGCCTGGCGGTAGGTGGTGGCTGTTTACTATTGCACAGAAGATTGTTGCTAGAGGGCACATCCTGCCCCAGCTGAGTCCCTATCTCTGTGGAACACAGTTCCTTTGGCACTTGTTGTTCCCTCTTTCTGGAATGCACTCCCACAGCTCCCTCTCCCACCCCTGCCTGGCAAACCACTAAGGATCCTTTTACTCTCAGCTTTAACTTCTCTAAAGTCACACCCAGTCGTTTCACATCTCTGCTTAGGATCCTAAAGGGCTTTCCTGGAAGCTGACAGCAAGACCCATACTAAGCTGAAAGGTCCTAGAAGGTCCTGGCCCCACCTCCATCTTCACTTCACTACAAGCACCCCAGCCCTCCCCCCAGTCCCCATGGCCAGGCATTTGCAAGTACTGTGCCCTCCCTCTGGACTCCTCCTCTGCTCTCATCCTTTGGGTCTGACCTAAGACTGAAACTCCCACCCCACTGTCTCTATTACCGCGCCTCCTAGCATTCTGCTCTTTCTTTCAAACCTACATCACCTTTTGATTCTAATGTGTATGATTGCTCACTGGTAATGTCAGCCTCCCCACCAAAGGCGGAAGTTTCCTAAACGTACCCTGACTAGCACTCAACACCTGTTCAACTTTAATGTTCTACTTTTATATCATTCGATGTGTCTAAAATATTACTATTTCAATAGAAATACATATAAATTTTTTTTTTTTTAATTTTCAGTGCTGGCGATTGAATCCAGGGCCTTGCCATGCTAAGCAAGTGCTCGAGGCTGATCCTTTTCTAAATGATCACTAGATGCTGCAGTTCTCAGGTCTCCCCACCAGGTTTTCTTGTCCTAACATGCTCCTTTCCTAAGTGACCACACTCATGCCCACATGCCCAGTTGTCTGTGATGACTCCCTAAGCACCTCTCAAGCCCTGAGGTCTCCTCCAACTGCCCAGCTGTATCTCCAAGGCTCCCTGACATGTCCCCCTAGATATCTCAAGGCATCTCAAACTCAGCGTATCTCATCTGAGCCCCCAAGTGCTTCCCTAAACCCAAGTCTGGGGCTGGGATGTTCCCCTTGGAGAGGTGCTCTACCTGTCCTCTTCAGCATTCATCACCATTAGCAGACCAAACCTTCTTTTGATTATTTTTGTTTATTGTCCATCTCTTCCAGCTAGAACGGCAGCTTCATGAAAGTGTTGGGGCACTGAGAACAATATACTCCTAAGTATGGGTATTTTTTTGGCTTGCTCAGAAATTTGATGTAAAGGACATTAAGGTCTCAAACACAGGCTCATAATCAAGATCCTCTTTGCTTGTCTTGTTTCTGCCCACTCACAGCAGGGAGAGGCTCTGTCTGGAATTCCTGTTATCACATGAAGACTGCAGAGGGGCACACCTATGCTTTCCACTCCCACCCCACCCCCAAATCCCATTATCTATCTCAGAGAGAAGACTGGAGGACTGTAAGCACACCCTGACAGATTTCCCTTATAAGATCGTTCCCTTAGGCACCTTCAAATTCCAAAGAGAACCTTTATACAAGCTGGGGTCTGTGTGTCCCAAGGGCCCATTCATTCTCCCAAATAATCACTGACAACCCATCAAAACTGTCAACATCTCCCTCCCCATTGAAAAAAGGGCATATAAGCTTCTGAATGATGCTGGGCTAGTGGGTAATTACACCATGTGGCTGCCTCTCTGCTCCCATTTGATGGCTTTGTCAATGTACTCCAGTGAGCCTTCAGAGGGGAGAGGGGAAATTTACCTCTGTCCCACAAAGGCAGGATTTTGTCTACTTTGTCATTTCTGGACTCTAGTGTCTGGAATAGTACCTGCCACATAAATGTACATTTCATAAATAAATGAACTTTTTCTTTTCTGCCCTCCTACATTGTGGGTTCCATGCTTAGCATATCTCCCCAAGGCCAGGCGTCAGTCTCAGATCTTTTTTTTTTGAGTAATGGGGATTGAACTCAGGGGCACTTGACCACTGAGCCACATCCCCAGCCATATTTTGTATTTTATTTAGAGACAGGGTCTCACTGAGTTGCTTAGTGCCTGGCTGTTGCTGAGGCTCGCTTTGAACTCGTGATCCTCCTGCCTCAGCCTCCTGAACTGAAATCTTTTTGAAAGCCATCTCTTCCCTACCTGACTCACACCTAGTTCTATCATGGCACCCTCTCACCAAGACTGTTTCATCAAACACGCTGCTGAATCCTTGGGACTGGGTCACACATTTGGAGCCTTCCCAGGATGAATCCAATGTCTATACTCTGAGAGTCATCATTATTCGATGCCGATGTTCATCTATAATTATAATTATTATTCTACACGGAATTGTCCATCACTACTCTGTAATTCCAGTTGTAATTGCTGGCCTTCTGAGGCCTCAGCTGTCTTTGAACTGTGTGTACCCATTTTCATCTACAGGGCTGCCCCTGGGAACATAAGCAGGTAGACCTTGCCAAGGGGCAGAAGTGCTCAGCAATTTTCTCCTCCATTGGCTCTCACTTAAATTGCTTATGGGAATAACAGCACAGGTGCTTAAAGGGATAACTGTGCTGTTGGAAAGAATTTTCTAGTATTTCTTCTACATATTTCCTCAGCTGAATCTGCCAGTGCTTCTCCATGGACCCTGGGATTGTTGCTTACAGCCTTCAGAACTGCCCACCCTGGCCCGGGCCCCTGCTTCTCTCTGCTCCCTGGACACATCTGATACCTTGGTGCCTCTGGGTCCTTGCTGAGATGATGGCAATGTTGCTACCAACAACAGGGCAGAGGAATCCCCTAGAGAGGCCAGACACCTCTTTGTAATGCTCCTGATGAGAGGACCCTATGAGCTGAGTGCCCACCGTAGGGAGTCCTGGATGCTGCCTTTCTGTTCAGGTGGTTGGAGCTATTCCCCTAACCAGGGACACCCCTCACAGGGGCCAACATCTGCCTATTAATTTTCAGTCAAATACAGAACTTTCTGGGAAGAAGGAGGCAACAGAAGGGAAAACAGGAGCTGAACCCTGAAAGAACACCAAGTGTCCACACCTACGGCTGTCACACAGCCCATGGAGTATCCTCCCAAGGCTGCCAGCTCCCTCCATATGCATCAGAGAAAGTCAAAAGGTGGGCATTAGGGTATTAATTCCAGGGAGAGAATTAATTCAATTTGACATAAATATCTGATGGTGTTGAACCAAAAAGAATGCCCTTGGCATTCCAGAATACAGTGGCTTCCAGGAAGGAGTTAACTTTTCATGCAGAAAATGAAATGCCCTACTCACTTTGTACATAGCTTCAGACTATTCCATGTGAAATCATGGAGACAAGAAATAAAGAAAGCTGGGTGTGATGGCACATGCCTATAATCCCAGCAGGTTGGGAGGCTGAGGCAGGACAGTGAGTTCGAAGCCAGCCTCAGCAACTTAGTAAGGCCCTAAGCAACTCAGAGAGACTCTGTCTGTAAATAAAATATTAAAAACTCAGTGGTTAAGCACCCTTGGGTTTAATCCTTAGTACAAACAACAAACAAACAAGAAATAGGGAAATTAATTCAAAGAGTTGCCAAAATACCCATTTTTCCTCTTTTTCCATTTGCTCCTTTTTCGCCTTTTGGGCCCTCTAGACCAGGCTGTCCGTCTGATCCATTGTGTCCTGGTAACCCATCAACTCCTGGAGGTCCTGCATTAAAACACGGAAATAAAAACATTTAAAATTGTTTTTTTTTCCACTGAAGTTAATGTGCTTTCCTTTATTCCTTTAGCTGGTGAAACTGGGTGGGCATCCATCTTTTCTACATCATGTCCTGCTTCTTCCCTCCCTTCTCTGTTTGAAGCAGTGACAGGTGTTAGGAATAGTGATAGCAGATTCTCCAGTGAGAGGGCCTGAAGAAGGATGGGATGTGGCCAGGTCACTTCCACACCTTTCCCTCCCCATCTCTGTCCCTTTGGAAGGATCCCAAGGGCCCAGCCACCCACATCCTCCCCTTGAACTAGGAAAGTTAATAGACTCTTACCTGGTGGGCCAGGTGGACCTACAACAGAAAAAGAAATTTAAGTGATAAGACACAGGTGGCAGAAAGAAAACCTAGCACCACAACCGCCTCTTCCTCCTTAAAATGTCCTACTCATCTACTGACCCTCAGAAACTGATTTCATACCTCTTTATGTAGAGTTCATCATATTTGTTCAAAAGAGCCTTAAAAACAATTCAACAGAGATCCATTGGCCAATCGAACCAATTTAAGTTTTAAGAGACCAAGAATAATTTCTGAAGCAGCCGACCAAATTGAGGTGAGTGACAGTGCAGGTGGGCTCTTGTGCAGCCCAGGCCCAGGGGCTCAGCCATGAGCTCAGCCCACCCACTGCTGTCATTGGAGGGCTGGAAGCCTCTTTCCTGGGAGCAGGCCCAGTGCTCTTGGGCAGCCAGCTGGCCTTCTCCAGGTCACCTAGGGGTATCACCAGCAGATGCTGGCTTGCTAGATTTCTATTTGTTGCATGAAATAGCCTGAGAAAACTTGAGGGCCCAGATCAGGTAACAAACATTTTCCTTTAATGTGAAATTACCTAAGGATCTAAGGGACTTGGATGAATCATTTACATGTAACCAGGAAAAAAAAAAAAAGATTTTGCTTCCACAGGAGTGTCTTATTGCCAGCGTGTCTACTTGAACAATCAGACAAGTCAATGAGGCTGTAACAAGAGGAGGTGAATTGCTTTTGTTTCTCCAGACCACATATAATGAGTATCAATATCAGAGTGGAAAGGTCTTCCACAAATCCAAGCCTATGACTATTCAGAAAACAAGCATTTACTAAGCACTTACTACATGCACCAAACTCTACCAAGGAATCTCAGCCCCTGTGTCTACTGTGCCCATAGCCTGTGTGAGAAAGGTGGACCCTTTGAAACCACAATGCAGTATGAGAGAGCTACAGAGAGGTAACCCCTTCCCTGAAGGGGTGCTGGGGCAGTCTAGCCATACAACGGACTGAGAAGACTTCCCAAGACAGAGAGCCTTGAGCTATGACCCTGAAGAATGGTGAGCCTAAGACAGCCGTAGGTTAAGAGCCAGGCATTCCACACACAGCACCAGAGTTAGCAGCACAGGTCCAGAGGTCAGAACCTGGGAGCTTCAGGTGGGAGAAAGGAAGAGGATTGGCCAAGCTAGATGTGTAAGAGATGAGGCTAAGTCAGAACACAGGTGGCTGGGCAATAGAAGCACTTGACTGCCATGCCAGAAGGTGTAGACTGTAAGATGTAGACTCTGTCTGAGAGGAAATGGGGATCTACAGCAGGTTCTTAAGCAGGGGGATGATGCTGGAGATCGATGTAGGTTTGAGACCCTCTTTGTAGCTAGACATCGAATAGAATCATTTGGACTAAGATGAGAGAGACATAGAGAGACAGGGAGAGACACAAAGATAAGGGAGTAATTGCAGAGGAAATAAACAAATCTTTGTAATTAAAATCAGGGACAAGGTTGGGATAAATCTGGTGACCACAGAGTGGCAAAGCTAGAAATTCAAAAAGTATTTCAGTGGAATGAGCAAGACTGTGTAAGATTCCTCTCAGATAACTAGAGGAAAACTGATGGATAGAGGCTGGGGACATAGGGACTCTCAGACGGATAGGTGTTGGAGGGTATGCTTTTAATACAGACAGTTGCATTTCAGGTCAAAATGATTTGCTGAAAATGGCTTCCAATTCTCTAGTCAGTGCAGCCTGTGGCTACCTGACTTAACCACCAGGTGGTGCGCGCGCGCACACACACACACACACTGGAAAAGGGGTGGTGTGGAAAGGGTGGTGTGAACAGTGAACAGGTCAGAAGAAATTAATTAATCATCATTCCTGGCTACAGATGCAGGCACATTCCATTGCACAGATTGGTAGGACAATTTGACTGCAAGAAGCAAGATTGACTGTAGGTTTCAGGAGTTCCCAGAGAGCCCAATGACTATGTCTATGGGGTGAGGATGTAATGAAAGCTCAGGTTGGAGCTGCATGTTTAGGACACATTAGCCTCTCGATAGGGAAGCATTTGGATTAAGGTCCCCTGACATAGCTCCACTGACTTCCTAGCTACAGTTCCTACTGTATGAATCTACAGACTCTCCTGCAATGCTAGTTTCAATGCAGGTCCCTTGGTCAGGTCTGGAGATTCTAATTAGAGGCCCAGGAACTTGCATTTTTACCAACATCACAGATGATTAGGATGCAGATATTAATGGGCCCTCTGATGTGATGTAAAAATTTTCTGGCAAAATAATTAGTTACCATCAACAACTCCTTAAAGGAATCCTTGTGAATGAGGGGTCCCTGGCTAGGGGGACTCATTGTGGGGAAGTGAGAAATTTCCAGGTTGGCCTATAAGAGCCCCAAGTGCCATCCATTGGTCATTTCTCTTCTCGGAGGGGTAACCTTATTGTTGAGGTGACAGAGCTGCAAGACGGCAGCTGCCTGGATCCCTGAGTCACCAGGACTTCCTGGGAGAGTCACTCAAACGTCACTGGACTTTATGGAGTGAGAAATAGTCTTTGTTGCATTAAGCCACTGAGGTTTTAGTTTGCTTCCCCCGCCCCCGGTAGACACAGCATCTTTATTTTATTTGTATGTGGTGCTGAGGATCGCCGAACCCAGCGCCCAGCGCGTGCACTTGAGCCACATTCCCAGCCCCTGAGGTTTTAGTTTGTTACCCAAGCATTGCCTAACTTATCCTGACAAATGTTACTCCTATCACTTTATAATAATTTGACATCTCACATTTTTTTCCCTCTCATAAGTTCTAATGCATTTTTCCTATTATCTAACAGAAAAATCTTAACTGAGATAAGAAATACAGGCACCTCAGTTAGTGGGAAGTAATAATAAGGACATATGTGTCTCATTATTATCAAGAGCAGGCCTGGCCAGTGGCTAACATGCAGGGCTGTGGAATGCTGCTGCCTGTCTCTTCCCACCATGGCCATTCCAAATCAAGGGGAAGAGAATCACCTCTGAGTATCTCTGGTTTCCCTCCAGCAGCCTCTATTAACTCTAGAATGATTTTCAACAAGGTGCTCCCTACCCAAGGCACCTGTTTAGCAGAGCATGACCATGGAAGAAGTAGCTACATATTTCTCCAAGTCTTGGGAAGATATAGGAAATAAAGAAGTCAAACAAAACCAAAGAGAAACATTCAGGTGAGGGCTGGGGCTGCACATTCAGAAAGAGCTAGTGAAAGATGCAGGTCTGTAAACCTTACGGAACCAGGTTTGGAGGACTGTCGTCCTGATTCTCCCCTCCTCCTCCTCCCTAGCAAGAACTCCCTGGGACTCAGCCTTCTTGTAGGCCATAGCTTCAGTCTCAGGGTCAGAGTGGGTGTGGTCTCTTTCCTGTGAGAGACAAACTTGCTTAAGGGATGGCCAGAGAGGGCCCAGGCTCACACTAGGGGGCTGAACTCACTAATACTAAAACAGCCTTCTGGTTTGGTCAGGAGATCTAGTTGGGTGAAAAACCAATCTGAGGCACCAGCTGAGTTTGGCCTGTCCATTCATTTACCAAGGATACAGCTCTGAGGCCTTCATCCTTACCCTATTTTCCCTGGGACACCCTCTGCAGTTGCCCTGTCATTACCTATTGGGCCAGCCCTGGGGCACCTGGCTTGGAAAAGTATCTTTCTTTTTGGTGGGGGTAGTAGTGGGGTTACTGGGGATTAAATTCAAGGACATTCTATCACTGGGCTACATCACCAGATCTTTTTATTTGTTTTTACATTTTGAAACACAGTGTTACTATGTTACTGAGGCTGGCCTCAAACTTGTAATCCTCTTGCCTCAGGCTCCCAGGTCATTGAGATTACAGATATGTGCTGCCACATCCGACAAGGTATCTTTCTTCACATGTCCCATTAAACTGGGACATGAAACTTCAGATCAATCTCGTTTACTGGATACATTTAAATTCTGGGCAGAGGCCATGGTGTCCTTAAAAAATTAGAGTATGAACAGCAGTATGAATCGGTTTTAAGAGGCACTTCCAATCAATTAGTAGTAGCTTCCTGGAATTCCAGAAAAGAATGTCACTAGGCCATGCTCAGCAGTAATCAAGATCCATCACTGATGTTTGCCTGATGTCTGCCCTGGCAAACTTTCCCCGACTGACATCTTCTTGGGCCTGCAGATCAAGGCTCTCTGCTGATTCCTAAAGTTGCCCAACTTAGGAAATAAGGGAGTAGTGACAAGTGCCATCACTAGATCAGGGTCACTTAGATGCAAGGAGAATGGGCACTGTGGATCTAAAGTGCCTCTGCCCCCAATGAGCAGTTTGGGCCACATGCTAGTTCAGACATTTTTTCAGGTCCATATATAGAACAAAGAATAACTGAAGATCCTGTCTTTTTCAAGCCATCTGTTCTTCCAGAAGATATGTTTCTGGGTTCCCAAGAAAACTTTGGTCTGGCAGTAAGATGCGCCCAGAAAAGCATATGTCATATGTTGTTTGACAAATTCTGCACCAGGAAAACACATAACCACTGTAGTTAGGGAATTTCCCTCCCTATTCACCCTGAGATGTCACAGGCTATACAAACTACATAGTATCTGTCCTGATCTCCAGAGCAACTATGGCTGAGGCAAAGAAATGGAACAGGAACAGGGTTTCATGGTCATAGCTAGACTAGCCCCCAGTTACATGCACCTGCATTGATTGATTGATTGTACTGGAGATTGAACCCAGACGTGCTCTATCGCTGACATATATCTCTAGGCCTTATTATTTTATTTTGAGACAGGGTCTCACAAAGTTGCCCAGGCTGTTCTCAAACTTGCAATCCTCCTGCCTCAGCTTCCCAAGTTGCTAGCATTACAGGTATGTGCCACCATGTCCAGTTTTATTTACTTTTTATTTTTGTGTGCTGGTGGGGATTGAACCCAGGGCCTTACAAACACTAAGCTCGTGCTGTACCACTGAGCTTCATTCCTGGCTTCCACATCTGCTTCTTAAGAGATGAATCTAGTGTAAAAGCTAGATCTTGCTCTGGGGACCAAGCCCAGGCTCTGCCCTGGAGAACCTTTCTGCTCAGCATCCTCTTGCGCCTAGGGACCAAGGCTCTCTGCCCATTCTTCAAGTTGCCCATTTCAGTCCTGGGTCCTGTCATCTACCACCCCCTCAAATGCAGGCAGTGGGGTCTATCCCAAGTCATCTTCTCACTTTGCAATTTGTACTTTTCACATCAAACTTTTAAATTGCAGAGATTTCTGTGTAAAAAGGAGGCTAAAAAAGAAGGAGTGCTGGCTTTTGAAAAGCATTTTGAAGTGCTAAAGAATCACCTGCTCAACCCATTTCCAGCAGGGATGCAGTTCCCTGCTCCCCATCACCCTCCCCTAAGTGGTCTCAGGAGCTCCATCCTGTGCTTTCACCACGAAGCCCGGCTCTCAGGTCGGCCACTGTACCAGTCGGAAGGGAAGGGGATTTTCCTGTGCCTCTCAAGGAGGCTTTTGTGCCTGTCATTTCATCCATCTGAACATTTCTCTAGTACTCATTACCGTCACACCTAGGAGCTCTGAAAAGGCCCTTCCAGAGATGGAAGAAAGGTGCTTAAACCACAAGAGTCTCCGAACAAAGGACCAAGCTGTTCGGAAGATATTTAATTTTCTGTGAGGGACAAAATGTGACTTGAGTAATTCAATTAGAATTTCCCAAGAAGCCCCAAGTTGATAGTTTTTTGCTCTGAGGTCAAAAGAAGCAAATGAGAGTGAGCTTGGACTTGGGGCTCCCGAGGGAAGCTCTCTCCTTCATTCACTCCTTACATAAGCCACAGATTTCTCCCTTCAACAAAACTTGCACATTGCGTTGTTAATGTGTGTCAGGCAATGAGAGGAACTGGGGAGAATACTGCAGAAAATGGCTCGGTTTCTTAAAGCCAGAAACAGATTGAGCAGGGTTTCTCAGCAGAGTGAAGTGCTGATGTGGCCTCCCCAGAGCCTGAGGTCATAAACTTCTGAGGCCCAAGGAAAGCTCAGCTGGCTTCATAATTTTGCAGACATTGTTTTTATGTAAAAATGATTTCCTTGTTTCCTTAGAATGCTCCTGTTAGGTCGGTGGTGGCGACTTGGTGATGACTTAGAACAAAGCAGCCTGCGCAGGAAAGGAACATCAATCAGGCCCTGGTGGAAATGCCTGTCAATCAGCGAGATCTCCTGACTAAGGCCTGTTAATCAGCAGGACCCCCTGGCCAATCCAGGAGTTCAGCCAACTCCTCTGACCAACTCCAAAGGGACAAGGGACCCTAAAAACACCTTTCCCTGTTCCAAGCCCTTCCCTTCCTGCTGTAAGTCCCATAAAAGTCCAGTCCGGTCAGCCTCCTGAGACCCTTCTCCTGTCCACTCTATGGGTCTGATGGAGTTCTGCCCAGGAGTGATATCTCAATAAAGCCTCGTTTGGCGGCCCTTTTTAAATCTGCCTCCTTTGGTCGCTGTCCACCTCACCTGATCTGAGAGCTCCCTTCACTTTAGAGGGGCAGGAGCTGCCATGTCTGAGGTCAGGCTGCTAGGCCCATCTTTGGCCTGGCCAGAGCCTTGCTGGACTTGGGGGACTGCTCTGCTGCCTGTGTTTCTCTTTGCTCTCACCTTCTGAAGGCAGGATTCTCCCCTCAGGTGAGATACAGGTTTCTTTCACACTCAGATTTAGAAAATCGTCTCAAAACCTACCCTTCCATCAGCCATTCCTAGTCCCAAGTCTTGATGTGCCCCCGGCTTGTTCCTTTCCTCTGTTCTCTATGTCAGTGATGCATGTGGTGGAGGGGTGCAGTATGTGGCCAACCTCCAGGCCCACCGAGCACATGGTTAGAACCTCATAGAAAATTCTTCATAAAAAGTGAGTTCAAAGTCAGCCTCGGCAATTTAGCAAGGCCATAAGCAACTTAGCAAGACCCTGTCTCAAAATAAAAAGGGGATGTGGTTCAGTGGTTAAGTGCCCCTGGATTCAATCCCTGGAAACGGGGGGGGGCATTTCTTGACTACTTAGAAATTGGCTTCCAGACCTTCCTGTTCATGCTATATGTATGATGCAGGGAGAGAATTATTCCTGATAAGAGAACTCTATTTCTCATGTACAAGAACTCTACCATTTTACAAGGTCTTTCCCCTTTTAAAACTAATGGGAATGGGGAAAATACCTATGGCCCTGGTTCAAGGTACCCCGAGTTTCTAATTACCCAAGGCCTAATTATTTTCCATGGCTGTATTTCTATGGCAATACCAGAACTTATTATAACTTTTCATAATTATATTATAATTGGCTTTTAGCTCAGTAAAAACACCTGGTACAAGTAAACCAACATGTATTTTTCCAACATAAAATGCTCCTGTGTTCACTCTGCCACTGCCTTTTGGCCAGCACGGGTATTGGCGGAGTGAGCCACTGGGTCAGTGGCTGGCCAGCTTACCTGTGAGGCAGATGCCCTGGGTGCTGTTGCACAGGTCCACCATCACTCGGATCTGCAGAGGAGAGAGGGCGATGAACAGCAGTCAGGAGGCATTGGGCCCTGAATTTGCCCTTTACTCAATCAAGCAGAAAGTAATGATAAAAATGCACCAAGTAACTTCAGGAGAATGTGCAGAATTTTGAGGAAAAGGATTGACTTAAAACTGAAAAGAACCCTTTAGAAGATCTAACGACATTTGATGTGAGTGCTCATCTATTAACACCACAAAGAGAATTTCCTAGATTTCTATCAACTTCTGAGAAAATAGAGGATGGTGAGGGAATCACCAAATCCAGTTTTCACCAGTGTAATTAGTTGACCATCCAGCCTCTGAAGGGTCCATCTGTGGGCCTGAATAAAGAGAGTGGTGAGCTTAGTGGTTAGAAGCACGCACTTATCAAAGGGGAGAACGCAGCTGAGATATTCAACCTCTTGACACTTTTGTTTCCTTTTCTGAAAACTCAAATAACATAAGCACCTACCTTGAGGGTTGGGCTAGCTCAATCCCTGGCATGCAGAACCTGTGCTTTGGTGGACCATGTGGACCCTGCCTACTCACCTCGGATAACTACCTGTCACGGTGGTATTAGCCTGATATCTGGCTCTCCCACATCCACTGTCTACCCCTACCGGTCTCTGTAATGTTCCCTAAAACCAAGTTTGATCATGTTAGATCCATAGACTGATCTGAAAGATCTCTAAGAAAATTAGTAAAATGCAAAGTACAGAACAGCATGCATAATATACTTTCATTTATGGAAAACAGTGGTGCACATACAAATGTTTCTACATGCTTCTCTCTTGCTGATTTTCATCTTTGGCTTTCTAGAATATTTCTGGAGACCACTAAAAAGCCTCAAGTGAGGGGTAATAGAGGGTCAGGGGGAAGAGAGCTGTTGTTTTATTCAAATGTTCACAGATTACTCTTTCAATTAAACTATTTTCAAAAGAACATGTTTTGATGTGAGGAGAAAAGTGATTTTGCCTTTTATCTATGTTGAATCCACTTGCTAGGAGTCCAGAGGGAAACTCATACTGTGTTTACTTTTTGCCACGTATGTATGTAAGTGAAAATAACCAAAATGGTTTTGGTACCATAGTGAAAGCAGACCTCATGGTCCAGTGCTGCCTTTTATTCAGTAGTGGAGTCAGGTATCAGAGGGGCTCACTTTCTGGGTAGAAAATGGCCTCTGGTTACAAGAAGGGTCTGGTTTTTATAGGTTACACTGAGAGGTGGCTTCATTGATAGAATGTGTCAATTTGGGCATTCAGGAAACAGGTTGTGAGAATTTGAAACTTGTTTTTACTGGGCAAATATGGGGGGGTCCAGTGTTTATCTTTTTCTGCCAGGGATCATTGTACTGGGAAAGGATCAATGTTTGGCTTCTTCCTCCAGGGTCTATTTTCCTTGGGAAATAATTTACTGGGAAAGGATCAATATTTGTCCTCTTTCCAGGGGCTGCCTTTTTAGAATTGATGTTTGCCTCCTTCCCAGGGATTGTCTTGTCACTGGGAAATAATTTACTGGGAAAGGATCAATATTTGTCCTCTTTCCAGGGGCTGCCTTTTTAGAATTGATGTTTGCCTCCTTCCCAGGGATTATCTTGTCACTGGGAAATAATTTACTGGGGAAGGATCAATGTTTTGCCTTCTTCCTCCTTCCTCTTGGGTCACACTGTTTGTCATTTTCCATATCCTTCAATATCAACAGTTATTTATTTAGACACTTATTGTGATATATGCCAAACACATTACAAATCTATAAAATTTAAGGATGAACAACATAAGAAACATGTACATTTGGCCATCTGTGGGGTTTTGCATTTACAGATTCAATTAACCACAGATTTAAAAAAATGTATCTGTATTGAGCATGTACAAACTATTTTCTCATCATGATTCTATTAACATATAGTATAACCTTTATGTAACACTTATACTGTATTATGTAGATATTGTAAATAATCTAGAGATGATTTAAATTATACAGGAGGAGGGCTGTGGATGCAGCTCAGTGATACAGCACTTGCCTCGCATGCACAAGGCCCTGGGTTCTAAGCAATACTATGTCATTGTCTATAAAGGACCTGAAGATCCTCAGACTTGGGTATCATTGAAGGGTTCTAAACTAATCCCTCATGGATATTGGAGGATGACACATACCATCCTAGTTGAAGAACTGGAAATTTCCAGTGGCTTGGAAGCATCCCAGGTGCCCCTCCCCACCCTACAACTCTTCCAGCTGAAGTATATAAGGCAGTTCCATTCTCCCCCAGGTAAGAAGAGAAGTTTAGAGAGGTGCCATCATGTACTCAAGGGCACACAGCTTGCCTTTAGAGGGAGCAGGCTGAACGCCACATTTCCCGATTCCAGGTCCACTGTACTCTATTATGGCTTTGATGATCACTTTTAAGTAACCAGACAGAAAAAAAAAAATTGATGTGCTGTTTTTAGTCATTTTCATAAATGAATGTAATCAGCTGCACTGTGGACAAAATTTATTGTCTTTAAAAATGTATAATTAGCCATTGAAGGGACCAGAAAAGACTTACAATGCTTCATTTGTTGCCTGGGGGATCAGAGCAGAAGGAGTAGTTTCAAACAACAGAAGCATCAATAGGGAAAATGAGCCTTTCTCTTTGATACTGATCACTGGTCTAGGAAGGCACACTGGAAAAACTAAGAAGGAGTTTTCACTTCCTGACCTTTGGCTTCATTTTTATGCTAAATGTTAGTTTAGATACTTACCAGTAAATCACCTTAATCTTCTCTTAGAAATATTCTTTTAACAAAGGTAAGCTATGTAAGATTGTGTTGAAGTGAAACACATGAGAGAAACCTGTGGCCATAAAGCCAGAACTGCTCCCCATTTTATCACAATGATGAAGAATTTGGGTGAAAATAAGGCAATTCAAAACTAAAATAATAAAATCTACATGGTCACACTAAAGAGTCCCATTTGTAGGCTTCCTAGATCTTGATTTAGGTTTTGAGAATGTTGAAGCTGGATGAGGTCTTTGAGGCCATTGTCCTAGGATTGTTTCATGGGATTTAATGGTGGCATGGCCCTGTCTCCTGTCAGAGGCCACCTCCCACCACTCTTCCCTGAAGCTGTGCGCTGGGGCTGTGGTTGGCTCCCACCTAGCCCTTCCCCGACTCCCAACTGAGAGGAGCCCAGGCAGCCACTCCCCCTTACTCTCCTGACTTGTCTCAGTAGCATTTATTATCCAATATTATCTTTCTTATGTATTTATTTATTACCTGCCCCCAATCTCCAAATTTTGGACACAGGAAAACTTTCTCTTTGTTTTGTCTGCATCCCCTGTGTCTGGAACAGTCCTGGTGTCCGGCCTAGAGCTCCACTGGGGAGAATAGCATCCAGTGGGAAAGTGAGGGAGAGTCTGCCTTGAGGGAAGCCGACAAGAAATTGCTGGTCTGGGATTATGATATGGGAATCTGACGGTGTTGGGAAGAGGGTTGGACCGGGCACAGGAAAAGGTCCATGACAGTGGTGGGAAGTCCCTCCTAACTCAGCTGGTCTAGCGTGGAGGACATGTTTTGTGGGAACAATGACCTTCGCCCTGGGTGTAAAGTAAAGAAGGGTACCCAGAGAGCACAGGCTTAGTGCATCCATGGCCACAGCATCATTGAGGACGGAGACTCATATCCCCAGAGGACCTGTCAGTTTCATCTCCTTGGCAAGATCAACACAACAATGGGCAGAGTCACACTGCATTGTATGGGAACTTGTCCTCCACATTGATAATGTTGGGGCTCAGAAGACAATAGAAGCCCCAAGATATAGGCAGAAGCACCCTCAGAAGCAAAGTTTCTGATCTTCTCTTGTCCTCTGTCTCTTGCTCCTTCCTCTTCCCACAAGGCAAGTCATAGAAACTAGAAGTCCTTTTCCCCAAAGAAAACTATAAAGCCTAAAAATATTGCTCTAATTTCTCTTACTCCCATCCACCCTGCCTTTCTGTCTTGGAGCTAGCCATAAAGAAATTCTCTGCCATGTCTTGTTGGGCAGTAGATCGTAGACCCTCATTTCAGAAGGGGCCTGCTTCAAGCCCAGGAGGAAGGAATGCTGCATAAAGAGGCCAAGGAGACTGAACAGAGGCCTGGCTGGGTTCTCCCTCAGCATTAGCTCAATACTCTCCTCCAATCATGGCTGTCCGTGCTTGGTGGCACCTAAGCATAAAAATAGATAGTCACCTGAAGGTCCCATAAAATACAATCAAGTCAATTGGTCATGCTTCTCTCCTGAAAACCTGTATTCTGGTATAGGGTTGTTGGTCCCAGCCCTTTAAAATGGGCAGCAATGGGATCATCCCCCTTTCCACCCCTACAACATGTGGCAGTGATAGAGAAGACAGCCAAAACGGGCTCTGCTGGTGACCTGACCTGACCTCCCAGCTTTCTCTCTGGAAAGAGAACTGGTCTCACTGGATTAGTAGGATTCATGGTGGGGAACTGGGCAAGGAAGGGGCCCCAGGAGAAAAATAATGGACATGATAGCCTGGCATCAGATGACTTGAGCTGGCTTTTATTCAAATTAAATAAAGAGGGGACATAGTTTGGCAGCATCTCTTAAGAAGCAAATGCTACATGTTAGGAACCTGCTTGTAGGATGCAAGGATAGCTGGACAAAAATGCTCATTGCCACACTGTGTAGCAAAAACATGCAGACAGCCTGAATGTTTATCAAGGGACTTGTAAACAAATTTAAAAAGATGAGGTAGAGCTATATGTACTACACGGAAAGACAGCTTTTAAGTGAAAAGAGCAAAGTGCAGCCAAGCCACATAATAGAGCTTTTCAGTTGAAAAAAACAAACAACAATAAAAAACTAAATATGTTAGTATAAGCACAGAGAAACACTGGTCGGTCATGAACCAAACCATTAACTGAGATTGTTTTTTTCCCCAAAGATTGAGGCTGACATTTTGTCTTAGTGGTGCTTATTATTTCCTAATATTTTCTTGCTTATGTATGCATGTATTTACATACTGAAAGGAGATTTCCCCCCCATTCTTTGTTTACAGTTTAAAAGATATATTGGAATGATGAATGATGTTTACTTTGCTGTCCTTTTAGTGAGAGAGCAAGAGGACAATGTGAATGAAATAATGAGACTAACAACCTAGCTTTATGACCCCCGAACAGCAAACCTTGACAATCACCCCAGCACTTGATAGAACATGGACAGATTTCTATTGTTCTAGATAAATAAAGAGAATGAACTAGAACAGTTGTCTAGTCCAGTGATTTTCAAGTGGTTCCTAAACCAGAAGACTTTTCTTGTTTCCAAATAAATTGCCAAATCCCAAAGTTAAAAAAAAAAAGATTAAAAATGGAGCTGTCATGGGCCATCTGGGGTGGGGCTGACCTTAGTTATTGTCTGTAAAATGAGAGGGTTAGACTAGACAGATGATTCTCAATCTCTGCTCCATTAGAATGGTGGGGGACAGGGGGAGGTGGGGACACATTCAGAGGCTCCAGAGTGAGGGGAGGAGGGATGAGAAAGTCAACTGAGGAAACTAGTAGAGTGGCTGGCCGCACTCACCCATCCGCCTTCCAGAGCTGACTTCACCCCCCACCCTACCCCAACACCTCATCTACTTCCTCCCCCTGCTTAACCTTTGGGAAAAAGAATTGTCTGAATTCAACTTGAAATGCAGACTTTTGCTTTCATTTAGTTCGCATATGAGCAGGATATTAGATTTTTACTAATACAGGTATAATTGAAAGTATGTCAATTTCTGTGCAAAACTGAAAGGTTTAATCAAAAGTGTATCTTTCTCATCAGAATGAATAGACCTAAATGAGTGAGCTACATCAGCTCACCCCAACTAAAAATGTACAGAAGTTGACTGGCTACTCTCTTGAACTCCTTTTCTCTGGCTATTTACTCTCGGGATTGGTTCAGAAAAAAGAATGGAGCAAACCTGCTGGTCCTTCCTCTGGTTTGGGTGTAGCTAAAACAATGAGCCTTGTCTGGGTTTCTCTGAAGTTCAGCAAGCACAGATTTCCAACTGCTAATTGGAAGGCTGTTTAAATGCTAAGTCACCTTCCAGATCTGACCTATTGTGCAACTTAAATTCTTTCTCTCTTAGACAATTGAATACTCTTTCTGACTCTCCTTAATTATGCAAATTGACGTTATTATATGCATGCAAATGTTCTTGTTAGAAAAAGCTTCAGGGACCTGATAATCAGCCTGCCATTGACCAAGATTCCTTAGACTGGAGACATAGGTCTATGAATGGGGTGGTCCAGCTGCTTGTCACTAGAAGGTTAGACCACAGATGTTGGAGGAGTTCCTCATGGGATCTGATGCTGCTGTCAGACACCATGGCCTCATCCATGGGAAAGGTAGAAATTAGCACTGTGGCCAAGGTATGGTGAGGGTGAGCTGCAAACCCAAGAGGAATGTGGACTTCACCTCTGTTTAAAAAATGAAAGAAAAGGGGGAAAAATGAAAGAAAGGAAGAAAGAATCATAATTCTAATTCCTAAGGCCAACCATATAGCCACCTAACCAAAACTTAAGCCTTTCTGATTTCCACCTCTCCAAATACTAGCCCTGGCCAAAAAGAAAACATGAAGGAAGATTTGTTTGTTTGTTGTTTTGTTTTTGGTGCTTGTTACCAAGATTCAACGAAATTAAAGCAATCAACTATTGACAAGTCAGCTTATATAGCTGTTTGCCTTAAAAAAAGAACATATGGCAGGCAGCTAATTATGAAAAAGATCAAAATACTTCCTCCATTATCAACTGTACTCTAAACTGCTTTAACACTGAGATTTTGAGTCTTTTCTTTTCTTTTCTTTCTTTCTTTTTTTTTCTTTTGGTGTGAGATCTCCCAATTTGGGAACTGTTTTCTTACATGCTGTTATGGTTTGGATATGAGGTATCCCCCAGAGCTCATGGGGGATAGATAATGTAAGGATATTTAGAAGTGAAATGATCAGATTACTGACAGCTGTAATCTAATCAGTGAATAAACCCATTTGATAGTTTTATAATTTGAAAGAACTACTGCGCTAGGTGGTCACTATAAGTAGGTGGTGTATGATTGGGTATACCTTTGGGGATTATATTTTATCCTTGGTTCCTCGAGTACTTTCTCCACCCCTCCTTCCCAGCTGCCATTGGCTGAGCAGCTTTCTGTTAGGTTGATGGTGGCGACTTAGTGGCGACTTAGAACAAAGCAGCCTGAGCTGGAAAAGAACATCAATCAGATGCCGGCGGAAATGCCTGTCAATCAGTGAGATCTCCTGACTAACGCCTGTCAATCAGCAGGACCCCCTGGCCAATCCTGGAGTTCAGCCAACTCCCTTGACCAACTCCAAGGGGGAAAGGCACCCTAGAAACACCTTTTCCTGTCCCAAGCCCTTCCTTCCCTCTGTAAGCCCCATAAAAGTCCAGTCCGGTCGAGCTTCCACGCGGTTTCTCCTCAGACCCTTCCCCTGTCCCCTCTGTGGGTCTGATCAAGTTCCGCCCGGGAGTGATATCTCAATAAAGCCTGTTCAGCAGCCCTTTTAAATCTGCCTCCTTTAGTCGCTGCCTGCCTCGCCTGATCTGACACTTTCCTCCATCACATCCTTCCACCATGATGTTTTGCCTTACTTCGGGTCCAGAGCAATGGAGTTGGCCAACCAGGGACTGAACTCTAAAATCATGAGCCAAAATAAACTTTTCCTCCTTTAAATTGTTCTTGTCAGGCATTTTGGTCACAGTGATAGAAAGCTAATTCTGTAGGGTAAGCTCTAACTTGATTTGGTTTTATCTTTGACACTGTGGATGGAGATGCTCTGAGCATAAGAGTCACACTCTGGGGCCTGTCCTCATAGGCCCAGCTGGTGTTGAGCTGCAGCTCCACAGGAATATCAGCTGAAGGTTTAGCAGGCATTATCAGCTCCTGTGAACACGTCCTGGCCATCTTCTGCCAGACAACATCAGTGGCCTGCTCCCATCAGATCATTCAGATTGGGATCCTCAGAACACAGAGGAGTCCTGCCCAGGCTTTTCCCAACAGCCCACCTACTGCTCCTTCTGAATCTGCAGCACCACAGCTTGGACAGTAGTTAGCTCACTTTGTCACTGTTAACTCCAGCATTTCTCATAGGCTCCTACTGATGGGGCTATTTCATCCTGTTTGCCCCATGCATACATTTAACCCCTTTCCCAGCACTAGAATGGCATTGAGTCCATACTAGGTGTTTAATTAACACTTCAGTATCATTTATTTGCTCAACTGGGAGGGAAATATTTTCCTAAATCAATGATATTGGTTTCTGACTGGTAGTAATGTTGTTTGTATTGTTGCAGCTCAGGAAACTATGCCCCAAAATATGTGCTTTGGTATGCTAAGTGCTTTTGAATTAAAAGAATTTGGAAGTCCTTAAAAGCTGCCTCAGAACCAAGGATTTTCTAAGCTTCTCCTACATACCCTGCACTTGGGAAGGGAAGGGTTCTTTCTAGAAAATACTTCCAAAATAAATGCAACAGTCTTAAACTCTATCCTTAAGAATCTCATTGAATAACTAGGAAAGATTAACCACCAGAGAAGAGGTTAATAATAACCAACATATAGAGTCAGACTTTTAAAAATCTGTTCTTTTGAGGGCATCTCTGAGATTACCTTGTGAGACTTTATCTGCATAATAAGACCACCTTGTTCACAGTGCAGTTTCCTTCCCTCACCCTTCTAACCTGCTGCCCCCTCCTCCCAGGAGCCTGAACCCCCTATTTCTTTCTGTACTCACAATGCTATTTAAATTCAACCATCTGAATCTTTGAGTTTCATTGATATTTTGTATGGCTCCCATATTTATGCATGTTAATAAAATTTGTGTATTTTTCTTCTGTTCATCTATTTTCAGTTTATTTCAGCATATTTATTTTGAACCTACAGAGGGAAAGTTTGAGTTTCTCAACAACAGGAACTGAAAATCCACTATTTGGTTATTTGTTTCTCTTTGCGCCTCTTTAGGATAATTTCATTTTTACAGATACTCCAAAATCTCCTAGAAATCAGGACCTTGAAGATGCTAGGGTTATCTTATTAGAATCCCAAGACATACTATCCCCCTCCTGCCCATATCATTATCATAGTAAAATCAGAAACCACGATGCATCCTGGTCTATATGGTAATAATACACAAATTTTTCCTACTATCTTGAATCAAGGTGCCCCACATGAGGTTCTGCATCCAGGTCAGGTTAGGACTGGATCAGCCATGCAGAGACTGGGGTTTTTATATGGAAAGGAGTCTAAGATATTACTGAAAATACACAGCCACAGCAAAACATGTGTTATGGTTTGGATGTGAGGTATCCCCCAAAAGCTCAGGTGTGAGACAATACAAGAAGGTTCGGAGGAGAAATGATTGGGTTATAGCCTTAACTAATCAGTGAATTAATCCCTGATGGGATTAACTGAGTGGTAACAGAGGCAGGTGGGGTGTGGCTGGAGGAAGTGGTTAATTGGGGGTGTGGCTTTGGGGTATATATTTGTATCTGGCCAGAGGAGTCTCTCTGCTTCCTGAGCATCATTTGAGCTGCTTCCCTCTGCCACACTGTTCTGCCATGATGTTCTGCCACACTTCAAGCCTTGAGGAGTGGAGTCGGCTGTCTGTGAACTGGGACCGCTGAAACCGTGAGCCCTCAAATAAATAGTTCTGGTCAGATCTTTTAGTCACAAAAGTGAAAAAGCTGACTAAAATAACAGGGCACTCAGCAGAGCTTCCTGCTTTGCTAAGCGCACTAGGGTCTGGTGGGGGCCAGGCTGCCTCCCAAGTGCTAGGGCCTGTCTCTGAGGCATGTGTCTTGCTGAGGAGGTCTGGAGAGCTGAACTGAATCGCTGGAGACTGAGTGCAGCCCTCCAGCAGCCCTCCTTTGCAGTCTAGCTCAGTGATTGCTCAGATTCTCTAATGAAATGTTGAACAAATAATTAACAGGTGTCAGTCTGAAGTCCACTGACAAGCACTGGCCAGCTGTCATGCATACAGAGGCTGTGAGAGTCACATAAGCCAAAGCTTGGCTGGGTTTGGCTAAGGACTTGTGGACAACCCAATTGAAGAGGCAGTGCCAGCAAACACATGCATGCCAAAATCTCTGAGGAAAAAAATAAAACAAAAAACCCCCAAACTTTTGGGGCTGAAGTTGTGGCTCAGCAGTAGAGCACTCACCTAGCATGTATGAGGCCCTGGGTTCGATCCTCAGCACCATATAAAAATCAATAAATAAAGGTATTGTGTCCAACTACAACTAAAAAAATAAATAAATAAACAAAACAAAACAAAACAAAAAAACAACGTTCAGCCAGGACCAGGGCCTTTGGAAACACTCTGTATGACATTGGTTAACATTGGGAACAAGCAAAAGCACATGGCTCAAGTCCCTGAAGAAGCACTCCTCCCCCAGATGTGCTTCAAGGCCTTCTTAAGGGTCTGACCTCAGGTCAAAGGGAAGACCCGGTAAGCTTGGCAGGGGCAGCAATGGTCTGGTTGTTTTTTCTTATTAACTGCAGGGGGACCCTGGAGATGTTTCCCAGCCCCTTTGACAAAATAAGAAACAAAGTAATAAAAATGGCAATTCTTATCCCAGATGGTAGTTGTGAGGACTCAATGAAAAAGGCCTCACGAAAACAACTGCTTGTTTGCATTGGTATTATAGAAACATATCTAGTCATGAATTGTATGCAAATCAGCTGATTTGCTTTCTGAAAAATTATCATTTTGTCAATTAATACAATTGCAATGAAGCCTTCTCATTAAGGTCTAATTGCAAGCTTGATCTATCAATTGAATTAAAAATGTAATATGAGAAAGATTTTTTCAAAAATAGCCAAGCATGATTCAATAAGTGTCATAACTCACCACCAAATAAATATAAGCTAAAACTGGTTCCTAAACTTTTATCTTCTCATGCCTGAAGCCCAACAGGCTCCATCAAGTCCCCACTTCCCAGCCAGGTTCTGTCTTCAGTTCAAGTGACTGCCACTCAGTGATGACAAGTATTTTTGGTTTTCCTCTTGTTGCCTGGTTAAATGGGAGTTGCCAGCAGCAAGGATTCCTCCTTGTACTAATTGACTGACCCAGCTCCAGAACCAGAAATGCTGGATCATTCTCAAAAGAGGCCTCAGGGCTGGGGGAACAGCTCAGAAGCAGAACACTTGCCCAGCATGTGCAAGGCACTGAGTTTGATCCCAATCACTTGGGGGGGGGGGGAAGAAAGCTTCAGGCTATATTCTTCCAGTATCCCTGCTTAATCTTTCCTCATTCAGGTCATAAACACAGTGTTATATCTGATTAAATACAGTATCTGATCCTGAAACAGTTTTTCTCCGGAATTAAAAGAAAAAAAAAAAAGCAGCTATAAATCAAGTTACTAATCTTAAACATGTGCCCATACTTTGTTTTCAAGAAGTCATTTTTGCCGGGTGTGGTGGTGCACACCTGTAATCCCAGTGGCTCAGGAGTGTGAGGCAGGAGGATCACAAGTTTGAGGTCAGCCTCAGAAACTTAGCAAGGCCATAAGCAACTTAGCAAGACACTGTCTCAAAATAAAAAAAAAAATAAAAAATCTTGGGGATGTGGCTCAGAGGTTAAGCACCCTTGGTACCAAACCAAACCAAACAAAAACGAAATGATTTTGTAGTGGGTTGCTTATTTGGCAGTTCTGCAATGTTTGAACTATTTTGGTCAATTTTTTCTTAAAGGAGACAAGATCTTTTTGACCTCTGTATATTTTAGATATATGTAAATGTAATAGAATAACTTCTGAATTAAAGTATATGTAATATGAGAAAATATAGATGAAGATTTGTCTGATCTTGAGATCTAGAGGAAGGAAGAAACATTCTAAACATAAAAACAAAAGCAAAACGCATCAATGAACAACTTTATTGATCTGACTATGTGGAAATGAAAAAATTTCAACTACCATCCCATTAAAAGACCTATAAACAAAATTAAAAGGAAGAAAATGTCCTAGACCAAAAGGTGTAAAGAACATGGGTTTTGGAATCAGACACATTCTGTCTGAATTCCACTTCCTTTTCTAAGTGGGTCACATAGCGGCTTAGAGTGCCTAACATCTCTAAGCTTCTGTCTGCAAAACGGGAAATAACAACAGCAGCAACAACTTCCTCACAGAATTGTCTGTAGGATAAGATAATGACCTTCTTGAAATACATACCTAAAGCTCTTAGCATAGCACCTAGCACATGGTATAATTGTTATTAGGGGGGAAATATTACAAAATATATAGGACAAGAAAAGTGAATAATGTTCCTTTGTGAAGAACACTTGTAAATTAGTAAAAAAAACAAAAACAAAAAAAAGATTAAAACCCCAATTAAAATAAGCAAAGAACATGAACGAACAGTCATACAATAAAAAAAGTTCAAATCACTAATCAACATATCAAAAAATATTCACTGTCACTACGATCAAACACTGGTAGCCCCTTTCAAGGGGTGAGGGATCCAGTCCATCAGGAGTCAGGTCTTTCTCATTTCAACTTCAGGCTACCAAGACTCCAATCCCTTCTCCCACCCAATCTGGCTTAGTTTGAGGCCCCTGATTCTCCAATATTATGATGTCATTCATTGACTTACTAGATTCAAATTATACTTGTCTTCGACAGTTTTTGAATATCCTTTGATATTTTTGACTGTTCAGTCAACAGTAGGACCTTTTGGGCACAAGGCTACAATGTGTAGTGTCTGCGATGATCAGCCAAACTGTCTTGGAATTGAAAGTTGCTTCACAAAGCTTTAGCATCCCCAAAAGGTAAAACTCACAATGTCTGGTGTTCAAAAAAAAAAAAAATTACTGTGCCTAAAAAGAAACAGAAAGACAACCAAAAATGGGAAGGAAGAGTGGAGAATCAGCCAACTGAAACCAACCCAGAAATGATTCAGATAAAGGAATTAGAAAAGAAAGACAATAAAATAGTGGCTTTAACTGCATCCCACACATTCGAAAAAAGCTAGAGAAAAGATGGAATATGTTAGATTAAAAACTAAAAGTATAAGAAACACCCAACTCATACTTCTAGGAATGAAAACTGCAAATTCTGAGATGAAAAGTACTCTGGTTGACATTAATGGCAAATTAGATATTGCAAAAGAAAAATTATTGAACCGGTAGATATAGCAATAGAAACTATCCAAAATGAAACCCGTGGAGAAGCTTTTAAAGATGAGGGCTGGGATGTGTGGCCCAGAGGTAGAGCGCTGGCCTAGCATGCAGAAGGTTCCCCAGCACCACAAACAAACAAAATGAAGCATCATTGAGCTGTGGGGAAACTTAAAGTGGCTCAATATATGTGTAATCAGAGTCCTGGGCAGGCGGGGAGGGCAGGAAAAACATTTTCAATGACCACGGCAGAAACATTTCCAAAATTTAATGTAAACTACAAATCCCTAAATCTAATAAGCTCAACAAACCTCAAACACAGGAAGCATGAAGAAAAGAACACCAAGGCATATCAAAATAAAATTGCTAAAATCATGTGGGAAGAGAAAATCTTAAAAGGAGCCAGAGGAAAAAAATGACACATTTCATACAGAGACAAAGAAAGCCAAGATGAACAATAGACTTGTCATCAGAAATGATGAAAACGCTGAGCTGTGGACCCACCGGCAGAATAGGCCCAGCAACCCGCGGAGGGGCAGAGCCGCCCCCCGCGCCTGCAAGGTAGGCGGACCTGCGACCCACCGGCAGAACAGGCCCAGCGACCTGCCAGTGTGGTAGACACATTGCCCTGGTTGGGGGAGGGGCAGAGCCGCCGCCCGCGCCTGCAAGGTAGGTGGACCTGCTACCCACTGGCAGAACAGGCCCAGCGGCCCGTAGAGGGGCAGAGCCGCCGCCCGCGCCTGCAAGGTAGGAGGACCTGCTACCGACAGGCAGAACAGGCCCAACGGCCTGCCAGCGTGGCAGGCACATTGCCCCAATTGGAGGAGGGGCAGAGCCGCCGCCCGCGCCTGCGAGGGAGACTTTGCAACTATACGAGAGCAATATAAATATATAGGGGGAAAATTAAAAAACACAACAGTTTCACCAAGCAGAAAGAAACGCGAACAGTATGAAAAGACAAGGAAAGAAAGGACCACAAGCAATGCAGGTCAACTCAACGTTAGAAGAGGTAATATTGGCAGCAGATGGAATGTCAGATAAAGAATTCAGGGTATACATGCTTCAGATGATCTGGAGTCTCAAGGAAGACGTTAGACAGCAAAATCAGACAATGAAAGATCACTTCGACAATGAATTACATAAACAAATCCAAGAAGCAAAAGATCAACTATACAGGGAGATAGAGGTTATAAAAAACAAACAGAAATCCTAGAAATGCAGGAAGCAATAAACCAACTTAAAAACTCAATTGAGAATACTACCAGCAGAGTAGAACACTTAGAAGACAGAACATCAGACAATGAAGACAAAGTATTTCAACTTGAAAAGAACATAGACAGCTCAGCAAGACTGTTAAGAAACCATGAGCAGAACATCCAAGAAATATGGGATAACATAAAGAGACCAAACTTAAGAGTCATTGGGATACATGAAGGTATAGAGGTCCAAACCAAAGGAATGAGCAATCTATTCAATGAAATAATACGAGAAAACTTCCCAGACTTGAAGAATG